CTTTTTCCCGAGCATCGCTCACTCCTTTCTTCCACGGTCTTTGTCCTTCATTTCCCCTCTCTATCTCCTATCCTCTCTCTAGCTCTCCTTCCTTTCTTTTCCCATGTTCGATGAAAATCCTGAGCTCAAGAGGCTAAATAAGCCTTAAGCAGACAAACCCTACCCATTCATCATTCATCTCTAGGTTAACCCGAAAACCGACAACGAACCCTTAAACCCTTAAGTCCAAAGTACTAAATTCTAAACTCAAATTCCTATAAAACATTCGATGCCTCTGCCCAACCCAAACCTGGGCAGGAGAAGTTCAACCACGCCGCCGAGTTTTTTTTTGAAGTGTTGTTTCTTAAGTTTTTATTATGTTTAAAATATAAAACAAAAGAGATTGCCAAATAATACACAAAGGTCCATGCCACTTAGGATTTTAGGTTTTAGGGTGCAGGGTTTAGGGTTTAGGATTTAGGGTTTAGGGCTTAGGGTTTACAGAAATTGTATAGGGTTTGGGTCCCAATAACGTTTTGAGCGAAAGTTTTGAGCGAAAGTTTCTGTTTCAGAACCACAATTATTTCTTTGGGGCCTCCCGGCCCTGGCTGGCCTCCGGGGACTCTTTGGGTGGGAAGGCCCAGAGGCTTAACTAAATTAAGCGTTTGGCTTCCCAGGTGCTGTAGATGAATTTACTTAAACCCCGCCGATCAGCTGTTTTGACAAATGACCTGGGATACCACATACAATGACAATTCCTATTTATTCTGTCTTGAGGGTTCAGGATTTAGGATTTAGGGTTTCTTGTTTAGGGGTCTGGGGTTGAAGGGCTGAACAGGCTTTAGGGGCTTCAAAGGGCTGTAGGGGGTTTTAAGCGCTTTTAGGGGTTGTAAGGGCTTTAGGGGTTTTAGGGGCTTTGGGTGTCTTTAAGGCGCTTAAGGGTTGAGGGGTTAGGGTTTAGGGGTGTTGGGTTTCTGTGTTTGGGGCCTTTGGCTTTGGCGTTTTGGGCTTGGGGTGCGGGGCTTGGGGTTTCAGGGATTGGTTCCCCCTTAAGGGTGTTTGAGCGCTGTGGAGGTGTTTGACCAAAGGCCCGATGCCTTGATGCATAGGGTTTAGGGTTTAGTAGGGTTTAGGGTTTAGGGTTTAGGGTTTAGGGTTTAGGGTTTAGGGTTTAGGGTTTAGGGTTTAGGGTTTAGGGTTTAGGGTTTAGGGTTTAGGGTTAGGTTTAGGGTTTAGGGTTTAGGGTTTAGGGTTTAGGGTTTAGGGTTTAGGGTTTAGGGTTTAGGGTTTAGGGTTTAGGGTTTAGGGTTTAGGGTTTAGGGTTTAGGGTTTAGGGTTTAGGGTTTAGGGTTTGAAAGCAGCAGCAAGTCTCATGGAATGGGGATCTTGCAAGTCTAAAGGGGCGCTAAGCACAACCAAACTCATCGGAAGAAAAAAACCCAATTTGTGAATACGAACAGTCCTTAATCGGGAGTATAGTACCCCCTATTCTAATCCCTATTAAGAACCGTTAGCATAAGGGGGAACATCCCAAAACCCAATCTACATTAGTACCATGCCTGGATCAACGGAGCCCGGCAAAATCCTAAACCCTACCCCCTGTCTGCCCCATCAAAAGCCAAGTTTAGGGTTTAGGGTTTAGGGTTTAGGGTTTAGGGTTTAGGGTTTAGGGTTTAGGGTTTAGGGTTTAGGGTTTAGGGTTAGGGCTTAGGGCTTAGGGAACCTCGTGACCTACGTCCCTGAGCCAGGCACACCGGCATCCCTGAGTGTGGGAAGACTCCTTATTTAGCCACGAGGACCCCTGAAAGCGGATTCCCTACTTTCGCGATTGGGCTCACTAAAGTTCATGAATCGTTGGGACAAAACTGATTTTTGTGCACTACCCCAAAGTCGAAATTGAACCCCAAACCTAAACCTTGCTTATTCGCTTGACTGCTTTCTTGACTGAAAGATTGCTTGATGGCACAGACGAATAAACCGGAGTCATTGATTGGTCCAGATTTCCAACCCTAAACCCTAAACCCTAAACCCTAAACCCGGGCTTCCTTTGTTCCTCCATACCAATTGCAAGTGCATGCGAGGTCATGCCGTCAAGGGACAGAGCCGTTTCTGGGAGACGTCTTGTCAAGGTCAAAGTGCGCAAGACATTCTGCTCTTAGCACGGAACTAGGAAGTAAAGTACATCATATCCCCTCTATAGCCCTAAACCCCTAAACCCTAAACCCTCAACCCTAAACCCTAAACCCTAAACCCTAAACCCTCCCTTTCAGTCACACATATTCCGATTAGGGCTGGCTACGGGTCGTCAATGGGTGCTTGCCATGCCCTCGACCCAAAACCCGAAACTCAAAAAAAACATTAACAAATGATAGTCATAATCATGATAACAATGATAACAATAGTAAACAGTACTAGTAATATGAATAGTAATAATCAGAATAGGAATGATAATAATAGTAAAAGTGGCAAAATAAAGGTGTAAACTCACACGGTGCAGGCAGAGGATCGGCGGTGCGGCTGACGCCACCCAGACGCGGGGCTGGGTACGGCTTCCTTGTTTTGCCCCCTCCCCCTCTCGTTTGGCCACCAAAGCCAAAGAACTGCGGCCTGCCTCGCTTGCTGTGCTGAGGATTTGGGGTTTGGGGTTTAGGGTTTGGGGTTTAGGGTTTAGGGTTTAGGGTTTAGGGTTTAGGGTTTAGGGTTTAGGGTTTAGGGTTTAGGGTTTAGGGTTTTGGGTTTCGGTCTATCTTGTCTGTCTGACGCGAGACACCCGCTGGCTGATCCGAGCCACAGCTCATGCGGCCAGCGCGATGGGTCTTCCAGGGACGAGGAAACTACCCTGAGCACTCGGTGAGGGTTTAGGGTTTAAGGTTTAGGGCTTAAGGTTTAGGGGTTAAGGTTTAGGGTTTAGGGTTTGGGGTTTTGGGTGTAGAGTTTGGGGTTTGGGGTATGGGGTTTGGGGTTTAGGTATGGAAGTTAGTTCACTGCCAGCAGACACGATCGATCTGCGGCTGCGGGCTCAGGAGCTTCAGCTGAGTTCAGGGACTTCGAGTCCAACGCACGAAGGGGAGGCATCACCTTGACTGCAAGAACAACATGCTCTCAGGGCCCTAAACCCTAAACCCTAAACCCTAAACCCTAAACCCTAAACCCTACACCCTAAACCCTAAACCCTAAACCCTAGCGAAAACTCCTCCCAGCCTCCAAGCCTCCGAACCCCCTTACTTCTATATGCCAACGCATGCTCAAGGAGCACCGGGCAGTTGCTAACAATATGGCTCCTCACGAAACTTCAAGTCATTCTAATCCTAGCTTTCTTGGAGCCGCCCTTAAAGCTTGGACCCGTTGTTGTGGTCCCTTCTAGACACCTTCCGAGTAGTCTCATTCCTAAAGGTCACCGAAGCCATTCTAAAGTAACCCCCTGCACTTTGCATGTAGCTGCCTGGTCCCCGGGCCTATGGCGTGGGCACGGTTTGCCCCCCAAGCTTGGCAGAATCATTCGGGTATGTCTGAACTTCAGCTGGTCTCAGGGTTTAGAGTGTCGGGTTTGGGGGGGGGTGGGGGGGTGGGGTTCAGGTTGCAGAGCTTAGGGTTCCACCGCCACATGGGCTTCCTCATAAGGCGGCTGAGGATAGATCTTATCGCTGGAATCCCAGTGAACCTTGCTAGTGGTTCAAACATGCCCTTGTCAGCACCTGGCTGCACCTGCAGAACCGAACAAGCCAAGTCCCGCAACGTCCTCCAGCGGTCAGCACGAAAATACATTTTGAAGTTCTTGGTACTCAGAATGCATGTATGAGTATTCGCATGTGTATTTGTGCTCCCTTTCGTACTACTGTGACCACATGTACTATTGCTGCCATATTTCCTGTTACTACCACCACTATCAGCATTATCCTTACTCTCACTAGTATTATTTATTTACGTTTTAACATCATTTATTCTTGTTCTCATGTAGTTTCATTACTCCCATGATTGGAATAATCACAATTATTACGAAAATTATTACAAGTGTTACATTTCATACAACTGTTACAAGTCTTGCAATGCTTACAATTGTTGCAATTTTCACAAAATAAGATCTATTGTCATCCTTGTTACAATTGTTATTCTTGTCATTGCGACCTTTAGTATCAGCACTTACTACAGTGTTCTCCTTATTGTCAATGCCATCATTGTTAACTTGAGTACCGAGATCGTCTTGATTGTTTTCCTTTCCTTTTCTTCAGTATCGTGATTATCGCTACTACCACACGTGTCCGCATCGTGACTGTTAGCATTAGCATTATTAGCCTTATGATCATTGATATCCGTACTGACGTTATTCTCAATATTGAGCATCGTTGCTATCAATACTAGCATTGTCGGTTGCTAATGTCAGTGTTTTAACTTCTCCGTTTAAGAAAATGACAATAACAATGAAAACATTAAGAACATGAAGAAGAAGAAGAAGAAGATCATTCTCATTTTTATGGTTACTATTATTGTTCTTGTTCTTCTTAGTGTTATTGCGTCACCGTTGCGGTATGCCCAAGTCGATGATGCACGAGCCCGCTTTAACGGACAACGGACAGCAACCTCGGCCCAAAGGCTGAAATCTAAACCCTACTCCCTAAACGCCCAAACCGGTCAACCGACCGAGGGCTGCAAACCAGCGCAAACCTAGGTTCCTCAGTAACCGAAGCGTAGGATGAGTTGTGGGGCTTAGGGCTATTGCACGAAAGAGTCAGTCATGACTAACTCGTATTTACTACTTCTTGAATACTGTCTAGTATCAACCAATAATCGGCCATTCACTACCGTTATCGCTGTCAGCATTACGGCTTGCAGGTTCCCCCATCGCTACCGCTACCGGGACTCACTTGAGCGACGCAGCTCCTGGCAACTGCAGGTGGCGTCCGGGAGAAAGTTCTCAAAAGAACGACAGGATGGAACAGGGATTTAGGGCTTCCAACGGCCTTTTAGATGGAAGTTAAAGAGGAATGTCTCTTGAATGGTCCTCACACGGCTTGAGCTGGTCCTCAGTAGCCATCGTCGGCCGCGCCCCGGGCGTAGATGCGGCGGTCGTCAGCCCGGTCTCTGTCCTGAGCCGGGAACCAAAGCCTTGACTTTCTGCTACAACCCCCTCTCAAACCTCAATGTTTGCGGTGGCTTGTCTAGAGTTTTGCTGCTTCTAGATTCTTTCCTCCCGACCCGACTGAAGCGACTGCATCTGTCACAGCAAAACCTTAACATATGCAAAAAAAACTCAGCATCGCAACCCCCAAAAAAAACTCTCCTCGGCGCCCCGTCGGTCGTCCCGACGGTCATCCCGTCGGTCATCCCGGCGATCGTCCCGGCGGTCGTCCCGGCGGTCATCCCGGCGGTCGTCCCGACGCGGGCGCCGAGGCGGTGGAGCCCGAGAGTCCAGGGAGTCTGCTTCATCTGGCGGCAAGAAGCAAAGGGTTCAGAGAAATGAGGAGGGAAAATTGTGGGGAGTGGATCGACAGACATGCTCCCTTCAACATCCCACGCTCACATGAGAATTCGTCCACTGGCAGGCAGGGCAATCAGGCCCAGCTGAAAACCTCCCAGACCAATGTAGGGGTCGTTATACTATAATGACCCCCTAGCACCGTATTGTAACTATTCAAGCCCATGTCGGGGCGCTGGCGAGTTGAGTGCTTATTATATTCTACAGCTACAATTATGCCCCAAAACAAAATTAAGAGTTTAGGGTTTCGGGTTTGGGGTTTACGGTTGCAGAAGCAGCCCCAAAATGGAATGCTAACTTGCAGCCGCACCCTGCATTCCCTCAACTCTTGACAATCCTCTGCAAACTCATTAGATATCATTAGTAAATATTACTACAGCAATGAGTGATAAGGTTGCAATGTCACGCGTGAAGAACCTGAAAGCTGACGTGGAGCCCAAGCAATCTTTGCTTTTGAGTGGACACCTCGGCCCAAGATCTGCTAAGCTACACGGCCCCACACGCTCCCGGACCCTGACGTCCGTTTGCAGTGCCTGCACTGTCCCGCGAATCCTCCAGATTGCCACATGCAGAGAAGTACTACTGAGATGATGAGCACAGAGAAGTAGCACTACTGAGACTCTGATCACAAGAATGCTATCCTCGCACAGCTAAACAACCGCCTTTGGCCAGTCAGGTTCCTTGGATGCAAATCTCCCTCTCTAGAGCGGCCGACTACCCCCGACCAAGCCTCCCTCAATCCTATGCGCGGAGCGTCCTTGGCTCGGCGCTTGCGCGCCTTCTTTTTGCCCTCGCCGCCTGCAAGTTTTGCTTGTTGTCAGGGACGGACTTAGGGGAAAGCCGGGCCATGCCCTAGCGCTTCCAAAACTGGTGGTCCTGAACGCCACAAGAAGAAGCTGTACCAAAGAAGCCTTCACTCGTGCAACTGCCAGCATTCTTGCGTGTACGCCACCATGCTGGCCTGCAGTATGACGAAACTATCGAAGCTGTTTGCGGAATCGCAGCTATCTTGGTCCCTTATCACCGGTGTCGTGTTAAGCAAAACTTCATTGAGTGCCACGCGATTTAGTCGAAAGCAGCGGGTTGAGGCAAAACAGGGGAAGGGAAATTCAAGAGCAAGGCGATAAGCTCGTAAGGGGGCAGCAACGTCGACGAGCATCATGTAGCGATACTCCCATGGCATCTCAGGAGACGTGGCAGCGCGCGCACCCAATATGGGGGGTTGCCGAGATTGCGGGGGGGGGGGGGGGGGGTACGTTGTGGGGGGTCCTTATGATAAAGGAATGGAATCCTACTATTTGGGTATGCCAAAAGAGTACCGTAGCCAAAGGATGGCAAAAACCGATACCAGCCTTCGCGGTCCTGACCGCGCTTGGGCTCCTTGGCCGGGCGGTCCTGATGTCGATGGTTTTTTGGCGGGGTTTAGGGCTTAGGGTCTATTGTTTAGGGTTTAGTGTTTAGGGTGTTTTTGGGGGTGGGGGAGGGAGGCGAAAGGGAAGGGGGGGAGAAGGCGACTGCAATTTTGGCTCTGTATGCCGACTCCCTTAATTTGTCCCCTCTCAAAGGGGACCCTATCTTGTAAATAACCCAAAGTTAGGGTTGAGGGTTGAGGGTTGAGGGCTGAGGGCTGAGGGTTGAGGGTTGAGGGCTGAGGGCTGAGGGCTGAGGGTTGACGGCTGAGGGTCGAGGGTTGAGGGTTGAGGGCTGAGGGTTGAGGGTTGAGGGTTGAGGGTTTAGGGTTTAGGGTTCAGGGTTCAGGGTTTAGGGTTACGATTCCGAAATCCTCGAGCTGTGTTGTGGCAGTTGTGGGAAGCTCGAGCAGGAGAGCTCGGGGGCTAGGCAGGTGGCCACCCACCTCGGCGCTGATGCAAAACAACCTAGAACAACCTAGCAGAATTCCCAAGTACCCTGAGAAAAAGGACCCCTCACAAGGGACCCTGATCTAGAGAACTACCCCCAAAAACCTATTGTTCTTGTAAGCAGGGTATGCAGTAACCCTGGGGCTGGAGGCACGGCAGGTCGCTGGCGCAGTGTCCTTCGAAGAGGCCGATGAGAACCTCTCGCAGATATCTCACCCAGTCCGAGCAGGAAAACCCACAAACGAGGTTATACTCAGAGGAAGGTTGTGATATTGTCTACACTAAGGTTGCCTGCAAGCTGAAAACTCCTCCAAAGCCCCTGCCCCAACAACAAGCTGAAAATGAAGAAGGGTCGACGAGGATCCCGCAGCACAAAGTATCGGTCATCACCTCTTCCTCACCTCTCTCACAGATGTCTTTGGGTTCAGGGTTTTGTCCAGAGCTGCAGCAGAGCGGCTGATTGAAGTGACATGATTCCTTGGGCTGCAGAAGGGTTCCAGGAAGGCAAGGCTGCTTAGGGTTGTCGAGCAGCTTGCAGGATTGGGAGGACTTCGCCCCTGCGGGCGAAGGGGTGCGGACAGCCTCACAGGCTCCGAAACCACAAAACTGGCAGACTGGTCTAGAGGTTGATGTCCGAGAAGGGAGAGGGGGGGGGGGGGGTTCGGCTTACTGAGCACTAAACTTGCCCTGCCCTCCCTTTCCTTTTTGGAGCAGCCGAGCGTCGCTTTGCAACGCCTTCTGCTGCTTGGAAGAGAAGAGATGGAGGTTGGCGAGCATGGACGCTTTCATCTTGGTACCTGCTTAGGGGCCATTTCGGGGAACTCAGGGCTTGGAGTTTAGGGTTTAGGGTTTAGGGTTTAGGGTTTAGGGTTTCGGGTTTAGGGTTTGCGGAAGCCGAAGCTTCACGAGGCTGCCAACGATGTGGGGGCACCAATTTCGGCCGGCACATCTGAGATGAAAATCTTGTCCTTAGTTGTAGGGTTTAGGGTTTAGGGTTAAGGGTTTAGGGTTTAGGGTTTGGGGTTTAGGGTTTACGGTTTAGGGTTTAGGGATTCTGGGACCGTGTGGATTACGTGCGCGCATGCACCTTCTTGCAGGGGTATGTTCATGCCGCAAAGCCCAAGAAAGGCAGGAGCACTGAACTCTCAAAATTCACGGGGACACTGACACTGCCTGTGCTCGAGGGCGCGGCCATGACCAGCTCATAGAAATCCGAGGCTTTGATCATCTTCCTGAGCGGTTGCAACCATCGCAAGGGTGCACTTAAAGGAAACCCCCTGGAACAACTTGACTTTTGTCCGGCGGGTCCATGTAGCCACAGCATCCAAGAGCCAAAACACGCCCGGCGCCTAAAGCTCTCTGAGGAACCCTGGACGGACGATTCTCTGTAACAAACTACAAGTGGCCCCCTTCACCTCCCGATCAGCACATCCACTTTGACCCAGCAACTCATACAGGAGGCTCAAGGGGGGACTGAAGGGGTGTTCGGAATTCACGAAGACTTAGGGGCCAGTGGCTATTCTGACATGAACAACAGCACGCCAGTGGCATGTGAAGGTTTGGAACTCAGAAGCCAGTGGAGCGCTCCTCCCGATCAGCAGCATGCCCTTCTGGAGCCACTTCAAGCGCTTGTCCGGGCGTTTCTGCATGATGTTGGCCAGCTTCCTGGGTGCCCTAAACCCTAGACCCCAAACCCCAAACCCCAACCCCCAACCCCCAACCCCCAACCCCAAACCCCAAACCCCAAACCCCAAACCGCGCCGCCATATTCGAGGACTCAGGGCAGGGGAAAAGTGCCGAAGGCGCGGCTTCAGGCCGAATGCAGGGGCCTAGTTGATTAAAATGAGTGGCGTTTCTACCAGAACTGCAACGAACTGCAAGACAAAATGTTTTTTGGACTCGCCCCGGAATCCAGGCCCTAGCCTCCAAAAAGCCCATGCCCCAAGACTAAATGAGACGGGGTACTGTGGCACCCGCAAACCCTAAACCCTAAACCCTAAACCCTAAACCCTACACCCCCAAACAATAAGCCCTGAACCCTCCACAGATCACTCTGCCGGGCTGCATCTCAAACTCCGCCGCCTCTTCCTTGTCGCGCTCCTCCCGCTCATCCTTCCGCTTCCTTGCGTTGTCGCAGAGAGGCTTAGGGTTTAGGGTTTAGGGTTTAGGGTTTAGGGTTTAGGGTTTAGGGTTTAGGGTTTAGGGTTCAGGGTTTAGGGTTCAAGAGCTCCTGGTCGAGCAGTTTCTCGTTTAGGTTCGCTGTTTAGACCATCGAGAAACACCCACCCACCCGGAGTTCCCATAACATTAAGACATACAAAGTTTCTTCTTATTATCAGGATGGCTCAACAACAGAACTAATAGGGTTCGCAAGGGTTTAGGGTCTCAAGGTTTTAGGGTCTCAAGGGTCTAGGTAACCCGGAATTCTCCTGACCCCTAAACTAGGATGGCCCTTATGCCTTATGTAGTTTTATACTCCTTTTTGGGTTTAAGTACCCTTTAAACATGTAAAATGCTACCCAACCATCACAAAGATAAAGCCAGCAAAGCCCCCCGCAGACTCGGAAGGAACGCCCCTCCGCTCCTGGGCGGGCTCTGCCTCTTGGAGAAGACCATCATCCGGGACCGCTCTCCATCCTGGGGGGCAAGGCCAGCGCTCTCCAGCCTGTCTCTAAGGCAATATTAGACTACGCTCTGTATCATAATACAGATATGTATATATATATATATGTCATATCGAATACAATAGACGGTGACACAACGATACCTATTCAAAAAAAGAAACGCGAAATCTGCTTGGGGTTTGGGCAGGTCTTAAACTAAGCTCAGGGGCGAGGTGGCTAGACGAGATAGCTCCGTCAAGAACTGCAGACGCGGGTTTCCGTCGAAGAAATGCAGCGAGAGGAAGGAAACGCCTTGAAATATCCCTATATCATGCTAGAGAGCTCACGACATGCTTTGTTATACTTTAGGGTTGAGGGCTTAGGGTGTTTAAGGAACCTTGTCCTCTCCTTCAATAGCTCTGGCTCAGGGCTGTAGAACCGGTGATGGGGGGAGGGGTCAGGAACATAGGCTGGAAATTCTAGGACTTGGGGTCAGGAAGCTGCATTACCCTCGGCGGACGCCCCGGCAAGCAGCGTGTTCAATTCACGGCTTCCCACCCCCAGCGCCAGCCTTCTCGTGTGCCTGGCGGAGTGCCTCAGCCTTGGACAGGACCACGGAGCCCGAGTCGCGGTAGCCCAGTGTCGCCATTCCTTCTGAAGTTCACGCTGAAATCCAGGGTTTGCAAAATTGTGGGTTCTTTACTCTTTGGAGGTCTTCATGGTGTAAGCCTGTGGCACGCGTTGGGACTTAATACCGAGGCTGCGGTCCCTGTCTTTGGCACAGAAGGGCTGGAGGCTCCTTCGATGGACAGTAGCTGGTCTTGCCTTCATAAATGTAAGTGTCCAGTCAAAACCCTCAAAGTACGGGGTTTCGTTGCTACGGCAACTGCAACGTCAAAACCGCTAGACTACTTGTGTCCAAGGATACCCCAATACTCATGCGGCCCCACCCAACACCCCCAAACCCCGAAGCCCCGAAACCCCAAGACCACAAACCCCCAAGCCCCAAACCCCCCCCCTCCACCCCCCCCCCACCCCCCCCAAAAATTAAAAAACCTAAGGTACTTGAAGGCACCCTCAGATGTCCTAAGGCCCCCTAAGTGAAAGCTCTCCCCCACTCTTCAGCCTTACACCTCAGCTTCGGCTCAGAGGGAGGCCGCGAGGCGTTGCTTCTGCAGCTCTCGGGGCTCAGGAAGAGTGTGTGTGCACATATAGTAAGAACTTATATATAGATATATACTAATGTCGATTTGCATGGTGAATATAACAAATATAAATATCATATAAATATACATATATATATATACCTATGCACATAGGAACTGTTGTTGCTGCACACGGACGGTGGTTGTCAAGATCTAGGAATCACAAGCTGAACTCTGCTAGTCGCTTTCGTTGTAACACTCGGGAAGTGTCTGTTGGGCCTAAGCAATCGTCTTTGAATGCCTTTGACACCATCCGGGTGGTTGACATGCGGAACTCTGACGTGTCGAAGATGTCTGTCCTCTCTTGCAGTGCCCTTGAGCACTTGATGGCATGCGGCAGCACACAAACCGAAGACATCCTCAAAGCAACGAAATGCCCGAAAGACCTCCGCAAGCTTTCTGTTGGCTCTTCCAAGCCGAAACTTCCCTCTGCGTGCCTAATTTAATCCTCTAGTTTTCAGGCCTTTGAGCTTTGGGCTGTACTAGTGGGGGTTGAAGAGGGCTGCGTCTTTGGGGAACCTGGGAGCGTGTAAGGCATCTGGGTTCTCCACACACTGAGCACGGCCCGGCCGGCCAAACCCCGGCAGCCGCGGCGGCGGCAAGTGCGGCACCTCCGTCGGTTCGTTGCTTGCAAGTGGTTCCTGACCACTCGAGTCCCTTCCGTAGGGGAGGCTTAGGGCCCGAAGGCCCTGTTTGGAATGTTGGGGCTACTGTACCTACACTGCATTCGAGTCGGGGAAGCCGAGCCGACTCGGCGACCGCCTGCGCCAGGTGCGCCACCTGCAGCTGGGCATCCTGGAGGACGGCAACATGGACCTGAGACTGGCTCCATTCGTCGCAGGCGTGCGCGTGAGAATGCAGGGGAACCGCCTGAAGCTTTGCCGCCAACCCAGCCAGAAGTCCAAAATCGGCTGAAGCCCAGAACCGACCAGATGCATGTGGCCTGGTGAAGATCCGTCTCGTTTTCCACGGGGTGCGCGATGATCAAACCTTTCCAGAGGACGAGGACTGTAGCAGTCTTGAACTTGCTTTCGGAGAAGCGTCTCGAAGTGGCCATCGCATCTTGGGTTCACAAATTACCGGCGACCCTGTCCCGCCGGTTGTATAACTCAAAACCCTCAAAGCTGAAACCTTGTGAGAGATATATTTTTTATACAATACCAATGGATAAACAACCAAAAAATAAATAATTCAATTTCTGATAGAAGGCATTATCAAGGTGTGCTTCAAAGCAGCCCCTTTTTCTGGTTGCCAGGCCCCCGCGCAGCCGTGGATAGGGGGCGGCTGGGCATCCCAGTGGATGAAGCGCTGCAGAGGATGGCCTACCACCAAGAAATATCGCTTTGGGGCTTAGGGCTTAGGGCTTAGGGTTTAGGGTTTAGGGTTTAGGTTTTAGGGTTTAGGGTTTAGGGTTTTCCGGGCTTAGTGGGACTTATGCATGGCCTGTTATAGGGATAGGTGTACAAAGAGTTCGAACCCTAAACCCTTGAATCGCAAATCGAAAAATGCACCTGAACCCTGCACCCTTAAACCCTTAAACTTAAACCCTCAAAACCCATAAACCCTATCCCTACCCACCCTTAAACCCTCAAACCCTTACACCCAACTCCCTCAGTCTGGGCTGCCGGTCCGTCGGCGTGCGCCTTGGCTCCAGGATTTCTTGGGGCTTTGGGGGTGTTTTTAGGGGTTGGAGGATGCAGGGCTTTAGGGTTTTAGGGTTTTAGGGTTTAGGGTTTAGGGTTTAGGGTTTAGGGTTTAGGGTTTAGGGTTTAGGGTTTAGGGTTAGCGGCTTTGGGGTGTAGGGTTGGAGGATTTAGGGCTTAGGGCTTTGGGGCTTGGGGTTGGGGGGGTGTAGGGATGGAGGTTTCAGGCTCCATGGAGAGCGGCTCGTGCTTTCCAGGGTTTCCAAATATAGGCGCAAAGATGTTGAGACTGTGCTCGAATGAATCCTCGGCCTGGGAAAAGGGCTCGAAATCCTGAACCCTGCCTAAACCCTAAACCCTGGTTGGCCTTTCTTGCCGCCCATTACTAGGGGCCTTAAGAAAGGGCTGTGGGGTTTGCTCTAGCATATTTATGCAGGGACCATAGGAATACCATTGGTAGTTATTCCGACCCCTAGACTCTCTGGCTTAGGAAAGAGATTCCCCGGAGCCGTTCATCGATTCACAGCGGCATAACTTGCCCCCACCGGATAGGAGCCCACATACGCAGCATCCCGCAAAAAGGATGAACAATGGTATTCATGGATGCAAGTCTAGTGGGAAAGCCGTGCCAGTCTTTGCACTCATCATACCCGAAGCCGGATTCTAGAAGATGACTGTAGCAGGAGAACAAAGAGCTAGGGGAAGCAACTCAGAAAAAAACCTGCACTAGCTGTGGCTGAGCCGCCAGGAGTTCATCCCGTGCCTGGTGGAAGTTCACTATGAACTCCTGCTTTGTCAGGGTGTGGGTTTTGGGACCTTCAGGCTTCGGGGGTTTCCGAAAATTGGGGTACCCTCTTTGGGTGTCTTTAAGGGGATTCTAGTCTGTTTGGGATTTAAAAGGGGTACCCCTATTTTGGGGAATGCCCCTTCAGGCTTTCGGGCTTGGACATGTTCTATGCCCTAAACCCTAAAACCCCAAACCTCATAAACCCTAAATAAAACCCCAAACCTCAAACCCTAAACCATAAAACCCGTGGCCGAACGAATGCTCTGCGGGCTTCAGGTTTAAGGTTTAGGGTTTGGGGGTTAGGGTTTAGGGTTTAGGGTTTCGGGTCTAGGGTTTAGGGTTTAGGATTTAGGGTTTAGGGTTTAGGGTCTGGGGTTGAGGGGTTTAGGGTTCAGGGTTTAGGGTTTAGGGTTAGGCCCAGACAGCCCTAAACACTGAAACCCCTTCAAGGTTCTGCCTGCTTCAAGACTTGGGTGTCGAAGTCCATACTGCCTGCCGAGCTCGGCAGGAGGAAGCCATAGCTCGACACCTTCCCAGGGTGTGTCGACTTAAGCTGTTGCGACGGTTCTGTTATGGGGTTTAGGATGGGTTTAGGGTTTAGGGTCTAGGGTCTAGGGTTGAGGGTATAGGGTTAAGGGTTTAGGGCTCAGGGTTCATACCGTGCAGCTTTCAACAATACAGCACAGCTCTTCCTGGTATGCGTGGCTCTCCAACATTCAAGTGAGCTAGACCCTGACACCACAAGCTCCCTTTAGGGCAAGAGCCAGGCACGCCTGCAGACCAAGCTGGCGTTTCAGGCACAGCGCGAAGATCACATCCTGCATCGCGTTGTATAGATTGAAGCGACAAGGCTCAGTTGACCAGATCCTCCTCAGCCCAAGTCCAGGCATGGATACATTGAGGCAGCTGTGGCAGATTCCGAACCCTCAGTGCCGCTGAGCAAGCCCATAAACTAGAGGGCCCTTGAGGCACCTGCATCTCAAGAAATCATGGCAAGCTTGCTCATGCCCTTCTTGGCCAGTTCAAAAGATATCTGCACCCCGTTGGCACCAGAACCCAAGCTCTACAGCTCCAGACCTTCTTGGTCCTCAACCCCCAGTCTCCCCGGCCTCCATAGCATCTCCCTTGGTCATGTGCATCATGTCCTCCTTAGGCATCAGGTACCCGAACACAGAACCTGGCTAAACCCTAAGCACCCTATGATTCTTGCTCTTTTTCGTTCTATTACCTATACGGGGAAGCTACCTTCGAACGGCTTGGATTTTTGAGTTTAGGGCTCTGGTCTCTCCGATATCCCGAGAACCCCAAGAACACCTGAACCTACAAAATGGCACAAAATGGGCCCTGCAGGGCACCTGAGCCCTGTGCTAGGCATGCAGGTGAAGCTGCACTCACGTCCGCCAGCGCGCCGCGGCTCACGCCGTAGCCTCCAAGGGCGCATGTGAACGTCTCTGTACCGGGACTTGGCTGTGAGGGCTTTTCAGTGGACATGTCGGACATGGGGGCTTACCCGGCAAGGACATCACTTGCACAAACCCGGTCCCGTTGCGACACGTTAAAATTCATGTTGGTCGCAGGTACGTGATGCTCTCCGTGCTGGAGGTGTTGGGAGCTGCCTCGCCGAAGAAACTCAATCCCAAACTGGTTTGCGATTTCAGGTCCGGATGCGTTTCGGCCTGTTACTTTGCAAGTAATGGCCTGCAAATGCGCAGGCCTCGTGCTCCTTCCATATTCGCGCCTCATCTCCTCACAGCTATCCTTGTCCTGGAAAAGCCCAATGCTCGCTGCTAGCTCGTCGGCCAGTTTGCTCAAGGAGCCCGTGAGATCTGTGGGATTCAGTAGCTGCCTGCGAGCGTTGCATTTTTTCACAGGCGGCAGCAAGTCTCTGACCAGCGGCCTTCAAAGGCGGCCCTTCCCCGAGCGATGTTCCAGCTTTGCTATCGCTGATCAGATGAGGGAGGGACGGCAGCGGTGTGTGCTATGATTGCACGGGTGACGAGGAATATGACAGGTTGTAACCCTGAGGATGATGATCAGGAGGAAGCAAGTGGTTGGTAATGAGGCAGAAGTGGCCTGGATTCGGTTGCCGGGATCCCCGGTCTTCTCTGAGGCGCTCTTCATGATCGCACAAGGGCCAAGGGCAAAGATGGCCAAACCTTGACTGACCACCACCGGGCCCCTGATTGCTAGCTTTGATTCTTGGGTTGAGAAAAAGGCCCATGGAGGAAAGAGGCCCATGGAAAATCTACCACTCCTTCTTGACAGCTGGGAGGATGCATTCCCTGCTACGTGTACCCACAGGGCCGCCCGCCTGAGCCTCCATGGCCGAAGTACAGCGCCGCCCACCTGGCATCCCAACATCTGGTAGCAGCGAGACTGCACAAGGCTTCACCCCTAAGCTTGAACCCTGTGTGTTCAGGGGTCAGGGTTTAGCGGGGGCTTCCGGTTTAGAGTCTCAAACCTCCTTGGAAGGCCTTCGCTTCGGCAAATGAAATTCTGAGCCCTTTTCGGTTTAGGGTTTAGGGTTTAGGGTTTAGGGCTTTAGGGCTTTAGGGTTTAGGGCTCTAGGGTTTCGGGGCACCATCTTGAAAAAATCTCATCAACCTTAACTGCATCCTAAGGATATGGGCCGTAAGGGGTATGGAGTTTAGGGTTGAGGGCTCGACGGGGTGAAAAGAAGCACCACTCCAGCAATCCCTGAAGATCCTCGAGAACTCGCGGCAAAGCGACTTGACTTAAACGAGTGGCTTCCGTATTCCCGAACCACGACAGGTAGACATCTCTCGGAGGTGCCGTGGCGGGACTAGGGCATGTACGACACCTCAGCATTCAAACGGTTTGGGCCTGAGGGTTCTGGGCGCTGCTCTTGGTATGGCTGAGCAGCTGAGGGCACCTCGCAGCCTACTGCTAGCTGGCCCTCTGGGCGCCAGAGCCTGTCTGGCAAACTACAACTGCCGAAATTTCTGAGCGCCAGCAATCACGACCCGGCAAGCACTCGACTGGGTGATTGGCCGAGGTAGTGCGGATCCTGCAATGCGAGGCGCTCGCGCACAGTGGCCGGAAGGCAGCTTTGGGCTTTTGGACTACTACACTACGCTATTGCTATTGCTATTGCTCTTGCTCTTGCTCTTGCTCTTGCTCTTGCTCTTGTTCTTGCGCTGGCTGTTGCTAATGCTAGTGCTAGTGCTATTGCTAGTGCTAGTGCTAGTGCTATTGCTATTGCTATAGCTACTGATCCTGGATTGCTATGAACGCTACCATTGCTACACTATTCTGTACTATTGCTATACTGCTTGCTATACCGTATTGGGCCAGTGCGGAATGTTGCTTCTTAGTCTAGAAGCTGAATTGCATACTCAGGCTGTTGGCAGATGGTAGCAAGTTTGATAAATAAGGCCTTACTCTTGGTGACTTTTCTGAGGGCTCGCTGGCGCCTATGGCCTCCCCTTTCTCGTCAGCGGCTGTACTTGGAGTTGGGTTTCATTCAGGGCTGTTGTGGATTGAGGGTCTCCTACAGAAGAATGCGCAGGAGTCGAAGCACAGGACTCTCAACCCACAACCCCCAAAGCCGTGAACCTAATCCCTGAACCCTAAATCACACTAAACCCTGAACCCCAAACCCCAAACCCTTAACCATCCTGAACCAAACCTGCACCCGCAGCCTCGCTGTGGAAGCAGCTCAGCCGGTCACTGAGGGTACGCCTTGGCGGCTTTGAGGTGGGGAGGGAGGCGGCGGGCGGGGGGGGATTCTCTGAATGAAGGTCCGGGGTTGAAGGTTTTGCTTGGAGTCTCTACTAGATTCAGAGCCCTACCGCATATCAAGGCGCCCCAAGAACCTGAAATCGAGAAATGACATAAACTTGTCCCAAAGTCAAAGCTTTGGCCCATTGGCTTTGGGTCATGGATGCTGTGTCGCCATACAGTTGCAGGGTTTAGAGCGTGGGCTTCCCTAGGCCCTAAACCCCACTTTGCCTAGGGTTTCAGGAGACTCGCTCTTGGTGGTTGTCAAACTGATGGTCCCTTTTTGGATCCCGATGATCATACGTCATATTTAGGGTACCCCAAAAGGGATCATAATTTTGACAACCACCCATAAACATTTTCCAATGGCCCCTCAGGAATCTCACCAACTACTTAAAGCCCGGTCTAGTACAGATCTTCCCTCCGTGCGACCGGCTCGGCCCGCCTCGGAAAGTGTGCGCCTTTATTGCAAGGTTTAAGGCTTGGGGTAGCTAAGCTACGGCACACAGACACGAAACGTATCCGAGGGGCAGGTTCACGTAGGTATCAGAGTCGGCCTGGAGAAAGAAAGCCACCGCGGGAGGCTCAAGGGGCTGCCGATGCCACTTAAGCTTTCCGTAGTTTCGCGGGCTAAACATCACTGGGCGGCACATGGCCAAGACATGTCGAAAGTGTCTGTGTCTGAACGCACATCGGACCCAGCGACTTGGGGCTCTACCCAGCTCAAAAAACCCTGCAAGTATGACCGAGCTGACTCAACAGGGCGTCAAGCCTTGAAGATCCAGTCGCACTCCTCCGGCTCATGCTTGCCCAGGTAGTGCCAAATCTTCAAGATCTCAGTTCAAACAACATGGGCCAATGAGGACTGGCTTACGTTGGAAGTCTGGTTCGCGGGCAAACTTCAGGTCTAGGGAGACTCCAGAAAGAGGACCAACAACGCATGCCTCGTGCGGTGCACTACAGGCACTATGGCACATACACACAACTACTTTGTTTCCTGGCCGCTCTCCAATCATGCCACATGTCCTGTCAATCTGCCGCCAGAGTTGCTCTAGCAGCAGCCTAAGTTCCATACCCGGATTGGCAGATGTCGATAGTCCACCTCGGCAGCGAAGCCCAGCAAGCTTGAAATGCCAGATCACAGACAACCAGCCGCTTTGTATGGCACACTTCGGAGGTGATTCCTGTTAGGGTGAAAGGTGCCTTTCATTCCCAGGCGCTGTCGCAAACCTTCGTGGGCCTATCTTCAGGTGAATTTGGCGGCTGGGCGTGCCGAAAAAAAATCGCAGCAAACAGGGGGGGACCATGGGGGCCATACCAACTTAGGGGCCTCTGAAGTTCCAATTGCCTAAACTTTAGGGCTTAGGGCCAAGTTTAGGGCTTAGGGCTCAGGGTGCGGAATGAATCAAACAAGTCCAACTATACCACAAGCCAGAGACATGGAGGTGCTCCACTTGGTCCCGCGTGCACTTTCTTGCACGTCGGTGGCATCTTTTCTGCATGTTGGACTGGGCTGATTGAAGGTTGATCTGAATGAAAGGGGCCGCATGACCACCCTGTACTGTTTGAACTTTATGGAATACTCTTACTTCAAAAGGAACCCAATTCTGGCTCATCAGTCCCAAGTACAGGTGGCACACCTGTCTTTGTGGCCTTGTGTAGGCATGGCACGGCCCCTCCTTCATGGTACACGTACAAAACCAAAAAAAACCTCCCAAACCCCAACTCGGACGAGCCCAGCAAGACATCTGAAGCATAAAAAAAGCGAAGGGTGGTCCCTGCACGGTATCCTTCACAAACCTGTCAAGACTTCGCAAGCGTCGCAAACCCTTGAAGCCTACTTGCAGAAGGTCTCCAACAGACAAGCATGCAACTTTAGCCGTTTTCTGGCACTTGGCCGGATCCATGAAGTCCTCGCGTGGAACTGGCTACATCCATTCCTCAAAACCAGCTTTGCCTCACGATCTGGTCCCGTAGCCCTTCTTTGAAATACCCAGGCTATCGAAAAGGGCAGTCTCCGTATCTCTCTGTACTTGAGGACAATATATCGCGGATTTCAGTGCTCAAGGACCAAAACGTTGAGACACGCGCTGCCCTCACGTCATACGAAGGGCCACCCGACTCATGGCTCACAAGGTTGTGAAGGCCCCACTGCTTGGCTGACGAGGTTGCAATCAGTTGGCAGATGATGCACATGCGCAAGCACCCGGTGCAACTCACGTCTGTCCGGAACAGCCTGTGTCAAGAACGAACAATCCCGGAGAAGTTCCGCTGACGCATGCTGTAGTGCACACACATCTTGACGCACAGCTTCCATCACAACACGACGATCACCCCGTACACTTTCTGGAGCGAAAAAGAGGGCCTGTCCATTCTGGCGGACCACCTCCATCATGACATCGCGGTCGTTCAACAACTTGTCATCTGCATAGTACCAAGCCTCGTGATTTGAACGAACTGCTGCAAGCAGTATGTCACGATTTGCCACCAGTGTCTGGGAGGCATGTGTCAGTGCCATCCCGTCCTTCTGCACGGCTTCTAAAACGATTTCAACATCAGCCCGCAGCTCTTCAGCTGCGTGCCGAAGTGCTTGCGGGTCTTGCCGCACAGATGCCGCAACCACGTCTCGATCAGCACGCAGCACGGCAGCGGCATGCTGAAGCGCTTCTCCATTCTGCCCCACTGCAGCCAACACAGTTTCAGGATCACT